ATTTTAATATTTCGTTGCGTAACCTTTTGCATCAATAATTGCTTTTAAACGTCTAGGCATCGACTCTACTAGTTTTTATTGTTGCTAAACTTTGAACATTCTTTCATATCGATCTTATCTTTTTCGTTCGCGCTAGTGATATATTTGGATACTCAAAATACTCAGGCTTTTACATAATACACTTTGTTCATTTCAATTTATTTTATAATATTATATAATAAGTATAGTGTTTGTATAAGTTATATAAATATTATATAATATTAACTGTAAGAATGGCTGAAAGGATGCGAAATCAAAAGAGGCTGTTAGGTTACGTAACGACTTATAACCTACTATCGACGGTTAGGTTACATTTCATATGCGTTCCATTTGAAATAATAACGTCCTTGTCACGAGCAAGATACATAGTTCGTTACTTTTAGGCGCTCGACACATAGAGCCATACACAAACACACACACACACGCGCGCGCGCGTGCATCCTTGGCGATCATACCGGGTCGACATATTTTGTTTATATAATATACATTGTATGTTTATTTTTTGTCGTCTCATGTGTGGTTTATTACTCTCTTAGAATGTTTCGTTACAATGATGTTACACAATATCGTATTGTCTATCGATAAAATTATTTTAATTCGATGTAAGAATACTATGTTATAATATATGTAATAATACGTTTAAAATATATATACATATATATTATAAACATATTATTACATATATTATATATATATATTACACTATATACAGGGTGTTCCACAATTACTTTAACAGCCGAAAATGAGGGGTAGCTGAGGTCATTTGAAGTAACTTTTTCCTTTGCGAAAATGCAATCTGCGGCTTTGTTTACGAGTTATTAACGAAAAAACACTGGCCAATGAGAGGTGACGGTGCGAGAGAGAGAGTCCGCGAGAGAGTACGCAGCACGAGGCTTTGACAGATGGTCGAGACGGAATCGAGCCGCGTTCGAAGTATTGAACAAATCACGAAGCGAGAACTTTCCGGATTTTTTTTTTACTACGTAACAGTGATATTTTGAAGAAAAATGCTGTTCACCTTTACTTTAGAACGTCTGAAGAATATTTACTAATTTTTCGGACCCGAAATAATAAGTAATTTAACCGTGACGGCCGTTTTAATTTTCTAGTGTGCATGACACCTCGTGTGTAACATATGAAATTTTTAAGCTAGGTGTACAGTGAAGATTAACGAAGTACGTAAATGATATTTTACGTAAATGATATTTTATTTAAATAATTCCGTGTCCGAACACAGTTCAACGAATGATTCGCAAAGCTAATTTAATAAATAATAATCGTGTTAAAGGACGAAAGGGATATCTTTGTTAGAGAAATACGAAGAATATTATCAATAACCTTGACATAATCTTGACATAATCTTGACATGACCATGATATAACCTTGCTATGTCAAGGTCATGTCAAGATTATGTCAAGGTTATTGATAATATTCTTCATATTTCTCTAACAAACATATCCCTTACGTTCTTTAACACGATTATTATTTATTAAATTAACTTTGCGAATCTTTCGTTAAACTGTGTTCGGACACGAAATTATTTAAATTAAAATATCATTTACGTACTTTGTTAATCTTCATTGCACACCTTGCTTAAAAATTTCACATGTTACACACGAGGTGTCATGCATACTAGAAAATTAAAACGGCCGTCATGGTTAAATTACTTACTATTTCGGGTCCGAAAAATTAGTAAATATTCTTCAGACGTTCTAAAGTAAAGGTGATCAGCGTATTTCTTAAAAATATCACTGTTACGTAGTAAAAAAAATCCCGTAAGTTCTCGCTTCGTGATTTGTTCAAAACTTCGAACGCGGCTCGAGTCCGTCCCGACCATCTGTCAAAGCCTCGTGCTGCGGGCTCTCGAACTTCGCGCCGTCACCTCTCATTGGTCAGTGTTTTCCGTTAATAACTCGTAAACAATGCCGCAGATTGCATTTTCGCAAAGGAAAAAGTTACTTCAAATGACCTCAGCTACCCGTCATTTTCGGCTGTTAAAATAATTGTGGAACACCCTGTATATTATTATATATGTTTTTTATAATATATGTAATAATATGTTTATTAGATAGTCATGGTTATGTCGTGGATATGTCAAGATTATGTCAAGGTTATTTTTACGCATTTAAAAGACTATTTTGTTTACATTCTAGAATGTTGATTCATTAAACTACTATACTTGAAATATTTTTCCCACAGCACATTGTGTTCCTATATAATAATTGCAGTAAGTAATAGAAAAATTGTATATTTACGCAGGTAACAAGACCGTGGAGAGCATAATGGCTAAGGGCTATTTGATGAGAGAGAAAAAGCACATATATCGTTGCAAGACTAAAGCCCACAGCACCAGGTATGTCGCAAACATTTCGAAATAAAAATTTGATCATCGGTATAAAAATATGCGAACAATGGTCTCTGAGTTTTCACCTTGCAGTTTCAGCTTGCAGACGCGTCTGGTCAACTTAGCCTTCGCCCAATCTTCAGCCTACACCAAGCACGGTTCGCATCATCGTCTCGATTGTTAAGGAATGGAAACGGCCATATTTTGTAATCGATTTAAGCGAAATAGGTAATTTATTTTGACAAGGACTCCTTCGTCTGATATCGTAACATCGTGGAGAGACACAAGACTGAAAAAATCCGTCATTTCGACGTAATATTATTGTAATATCATTGGGAAATTGTTCCAGGAGTTTCTATTTGTAAGATTTTTAAGTTTAAGAAAATGACGCATCTATTGTTATTATAAAATCTGCGTATACTCCAGATTTGTATAACATTATCCTAGGATAAATTTAGTACAATTTCTAATTCAGTAAATTATCATATATTGTGTAATATTATTATATTGTGTACGCGTTGCCGCGTATATTAATGCGTATTAATAACATGTGTAATTTGATTGATTTGTACCGCTCAATCTCCATTTTTAACAATTTATAAATTACTAAGGATAACTATGTTTAATATAAATTTATTTCATTTCGA